GAGCTTATTTGCAGATCTTCACTTAAACAAAATGTACGGAGTAAACCCAAATGAAGAAATGGAGAGTAAACACACACACACACACAAACAAACCCATTCATTCTCCTTCTCTCTCTTTCTCTCAGTAAAGAGCAGGTGTTCTAAAGCCAGACTTGCTGGGTTGAATCCTAACCTAACTGTCACTTACTAGCTGTGTAACCTTGAACAGGTACTCAGCCACGCTTTGCTTCACTTTTCTCATCTGTGAAATGGGGGTATGAGTAGTATCCATGCCATGGAGTTCTTCTGACATTTAGATTAGTTAATGCAAAATGCTGGCACGTAACGTTAGTTATTGGCATACATGCTCACACAGTCTGGCTCCTGTCATTCAAATGCCAACCCTAGTGATATTTTATTAACAAAACTCTGTTTTAATCTTTACTCTTGCTCTTCAACAGTCAAATGATCACAAAACTGCATACTGGTGGTTTTGATTCCCTTGAGAACCAAAAATTATTGAATTCTTATTTTTGAACATTAACGTATAGTAATCATCTGTTAACTCTCAATTACTTCCTGAAAAATTGATTATTCATGACACTTCATTCCTGGATAAGCATGAGACAGACCAGGGGGATTTATGGTCATAACTGCCTCAGTTGCCAATCTGAGATCGTTGTGAGGTTTTTTAAACTCTTCCCTCCTTTCTTTCCCAGGGTCAAGGCATTTTATGTCTCTGCTGTAATAAGAAAGGTAAAAGTTAGGAATACAGCTTGTAAAACTGCTCTATGATAACCACAGGTGTAAATATATAGGCTTCGGTGAAAACGATGCCTGAATCCTATTAAAATCCTATGTTAATACTCCAATCGCTGTGTTATATCCTCGGCTTCCATTTTAAAATAAAAGCCAAAGTATTTAATTGTAAAATAGTTTGTAAAGTGAATATAAAGTACTTTCTAAAGCAATGATTTGCTTTTTTAAAATTTCTATTTAAACTTGTACATATCACCCTTACCAATAAAGCATTATACACATAGTCTTTTCTGAAGTACATAAAACACACAGAAGTGCTCTAGCAGAAATTCTAATAAGTAGCCTGTCATCATTAGTCTCATTATTTTTTTTCTGAAAAGACAGAAAATGGGAAAAAGTGATGGGAGCCCATTTTTTCAGTTTTAAGTATCTATAACACTGAAAACACAGGGGTGCTTCTTCTCTCCGTTAAAACTCTCATTTTCAAGATTAAGTGAGCAGCCGAGGCAGGTGGAGGAGGAGCATGAACGAGGCATTATGAAGTGGGGCAGCCTAGCTTTGTAGCTTTCTTTCGTCATGATGCAGAAGCACAGACACATGACTACGGAGTTTACTAAGGACTGATGCATGACACAAACAAATTAAGGACTTTATAAGCCTGTGACAAATAAGAGTTTGACAGGAAGTGGAAATGGGAGGCAGAGCACTGATTAAGCTGAGAAAACATCCATGTTTCACAGAATTAAGTTTAGAATCACTTGTAGTCTCTTTCTAGATTTAAGTTACACTAGGCTCGAGAAAAACTATTTATGATTTGGCATTACTATAATACTTCATTTCTATGGCAGGCTTTATGAAAAGGCTATTACTTATTGAAATGAAAGAAAATTCAAAACGCATAAAGGTGTTATGAATCCAAATCCAAATATGAGACTCCTTAGAAACAGAGCAGGCAAAATACTGCTTAGCAAATTTTCAAAATATTTTAGGGACAAAAATTCCTGCAAAGTGGCCAGAATTTAGAGGTCCTTTTGCAGATGAAAAAACTGAGCGTCACTGTCCAAATGCCTGTGCAAATGCAGAAATCAAGGATCATGTTTCTTATTATACTCAGATAGGACTTATAACGGAGATTGCTGGGTTTTCTCCAAAATCCACTCTCCCTCCTCTTTCCTTTATTAACTGAACCCCAGCTAACAAACTACATTTACCATGCATCCTTGCTAACAGGTATAACCATGTGAGTATGTTCCAGCCAATGCAAAGTAAGTAGAATTAAAATGTTGACTGGGACTTCTCAGAGTCTTTTGGAAGGGAAGGAATGCCTTCTTCTTTGCTTCATCTTCCTGCATCCTGAAAAGCTGCTGTAATGGCTGGATCTTCAGCAGCTATCTGGCCAAAAGATAGAAGCTAGTGGCTGAGGGGTTATGGAGCAGAAAGAAAAGAGGACAGGGTTTCTACTTGAGGTACTTGGGCCACTATATCAGCCCTGGAATGCCTGTCTTTTACATGAGAGATAAATGAACTTCCATCCTATTTAAACCACTGCAATTTTGATTCTTTTGGATATAGGTAGACAGTGGAGCCTAATCCTATTCCAAATCCTAATCCTATCTAAATCAGAATTAACTATCAAATCATACTTCTACAGAGGGATGAAACTTAACATAATACTTGGATGGTAAGTTAAAGTTCTAACTAATTGTAATAATCATGATAATTTATCATACAAACTATGTAATGAATAATATAATAACTCGCAAAAGTTTTCACTGTAAACTGAAAACAAATGCTTGATAAATATCAACACTGAAGAAAGTTTTAAAGGTTTTCTACAATGAATTAGTGTTTCCCAAAGTAACATAATTTTAGACAAGTTAGCAACAAAGGCAAACAACAAATATCATAAAAATATGACTCTAAATTTGTTGCTGAACAAAGTTAAAGAAATATAACCCGTTTTCTAAAAAGTATCAATTTTTGAAAGATAACACAGGGTACACACAAATTAACATACAAATCTACATATAATTATGCAAATGCTGCTTTGACACACAACACCAAGTATTTTTATTGTGTTAAGATGTTTGTGAATGCATTTTTTGGTATTAAAATTGCAGTTGTGAATAGAAGACACTCGGCAAGATAATAATTTTCTGTTGTCAAATCAGCTTTAGTTTCTTATGCAACTCAGTTTTATGCTATTCAGATGGTCTGAACACTGGCACATGAAAGCATTTTACTTATTCACTTCATGTAGAAATAATGGCTTTTTAACAGTGCTCGATTAGGAGACATTAGGAACCTTGCCTCGAAAGCCATTAGCAAATTTATCTAGAAGATTGTATGCTACATCATAAAATAACCAGCAGTTGAAGATGTTCTAAGCTGCTTCGTATGCCAATTGGCGTAGACACTTGCCAGAAAAGCTCCTTCAGCCAGCAATGAGTTCATAGATACTTAAGGATAAAATTTTGAAGGATATTGGCAATTCAAAGGATATGATGCCAGAGACCACATACTGCCAACAAATTTAAACAAACTTGCATTTTACTTTGCAGTGAAATCTATTTCCAAGGAAAATTTAAGTTTGAGTTTGCCAACTAGCCCTGGAAACAGAGGGGACTGACTGATGGCTTTTCTTAATATTATCAAACTACTAATGCGAACTTGAAATCAACCCCCACTTCCTTTCCCCTTAAAGCAAGGTATCTTATAATATGTAATAATATAAGCTCACCTGAAAGGGTGTTAGAGATTTAAGACCTTCTCTCTGTAATCAGTTATGGAATTAAATCTAGCCCCTGTCTTAGTCTTCTTTTTTGTCAATAATGACAATAATAGAATGTCCAAATGTTATTAGGAAAAGATCTATAAGTCTGTGCCTTCTTACAATGTGAAAATCAAGAAGAAAGCTAAAGATAACCATGTACTGTACTTATCCTGTTTTGTTCAAATCCTCATAATTTTAAATAAAGAAGAGTAATGTTCATTAATGAGATTAACCTATCAATTAAAACATACCTGGAACACAGTAGATACTCAATAAATGACAAACTGTTGTTATAACTTCCCTTTTGAAGCAAAACACTTCCAGTTTATTCTCATCTGAATGTTTCTTAAGTTTCTAAAATTCACAAAAATCATAAGACTAAACTATAAGAGGGAGGGGCCATCATTATATATAGTCCATTTCTCTTATTTTATAAAATTTTGTCCTTAAACGTCTCTGAGAGATTATAATTTTTACTTATTTTATCTGAGATTATAATTTTTACTGATTTTATCTGCCTCCCCATCCTCATAAGGACAGACAGAATCACTGGCCATTAATAAAAGAGGACTGCTAAGAGATTGCTATTAGTAAATTCCTGTCATACAAAAGTCCTCCAAGTCCACAGATGACCTTCTGTATCATGACCACTGAGGCTTGCAAAATGCAGATTTCTGGGCCCTGCTCAAGACCCATCAAACCAGAATCTCTGCCATGAGGCCCAGGAATTCCACTTTTATGACAAGCATCACACTTTAAAATCAAATTCAAATTCCTAAGCTGAAAACTGTTCCTCCTTGTCTACTTTTCAGAGTAACTGGGAAACGCTGACTCTTTCAACCATGCTTTCTCCAAGATTATAAAGCTGTCTTTGTTTCACATTAGTAAACTAATTGTAGTGCTTCAATTTTCCTTTTTTGGTTTCTGTCTTACCTTTCTGACAGCCATGTACTGTTTCTTCCCAAACTTTCTCCAACCACTCACCAGTAAAACAGTGAATGCAAACCAGCCAGCAATGATTATATGGAAGGATTCTTTCACAGAATCTACACTTTACTCTGTGTTCTGTATGGCTCCCTGTTATGTAGTAACTTTTATAAAAAAAAAAATGGCGCTTCTGGACATGTTTTATTTCCTGTGGGTAAATACTCCTTACCTCTATTTTATGCACTGTATTTAGAGCTCTTTCCACTGAAATTTCATCTCCAAATTAACTATGTCATGCTAAACTTCAATTTTTCTCCTCACAAGTACAGCAGCCATCCAAATTTGTGTCAGATGTGTCTGCAAATATGCTTACCCTGCCTTAAATTCAGAGCACTGTTAGATGTCCAGATGATACCAAGGCCAGGCTGAGAGCACAGTAGTCTCCTGGAAGCAATTACTCATGTAGATGCAGGAAGCATTTAGGGTATTCAGTGAGACTGCTTTGGTAATGCTTTGGCTCCTTCTACAATGCTTATGCCAGCTCATGGTCAGCACATCATACCTGTCCAGCCAGTGTAAGCAGTGCCATCCCGAGGGTCTGCTGACTTTAGGCCTCTCTCCATTTGCTGCAGCAGCTCTCGAATCTTATTGTTCAAACGTTGTGAGAACTCAGGAGTCAGCTGTAGATATTAAAGGGAAAACAAACATCAAAATACATGAGCCACTCCATTTCCTGGACTATGGGCTACCAAAAATAGGAGGGTATTTTATTTCCACTAAGGCCACATTTTCCTGCCTGGGAGAATTGGACAATTACAACAGGTCCTCCAATTATGGCATTGTTCAATGTCATTTCATTATAACATTGATGAGAAAAAAAAAAATCAGTTCCCACTGGGGCCCCTGTCTGTGTGAAATTTGAAGGTTCTCTCCATGTCTGTGTGGGTTTTCTCTGATTTCCTCCCACATCCCAAAGATATGCATGTGAGGTGAACCGGCATCTAAATGATCTCCGTCTGAGTGTGGGTAGGTGTGTGAGTGCAGCCTGCGGTGCAAGGGTATACTCTCCAGGGTGGGTTCCTGCCCCGCGCTTTGAGCTGTCAGAAGGGGTTCTCGCTACACCTAACAAGGAACCTGAAAGTAAGAAGGCAGTATAGCATTATTAATAATAAAAGATACTAAATTTTACTACTGAAGAGCATCTCTGATAAGGCAAATCAGACTATCAACTATGTCTGGATAATCTATTCTGAAGCACCTTTATGATACCTTGTTTTATACTCTGAAGAAGAAACCATGCTGTTTGAAGGACATACCCCCATTATTTAACAATTTCTGCCAAGAGGTTAAGATTTCAACAAGTCTTGAAAATACATTTAGTAAGATAAAATATACTTTAATATTAATAGCAAAGGTCGATAAATCTCAACTAGATAGGAGAGTGCATCTACATGAGAACATGTCATGTTCTGTTCATAGATCATGGATAATTTATCATCTTGCTTGGCCTTACTTTAAGAGACCAAGAATAATGAGAACGCATCAGCCTCAGGAAGGGAATTTACTCCCTATGTGGCATATAAACTGTATTTAATAAAGGTGACCTGCCTGAGAATATTGATTGCTGTGGCAGACCACAAAATTATTCAAACTCTAGTGATAATTAGAAGAGTCTCTAAAAGCCCCACCTCCTCCCTTTTTTTCTGATAGATACTAGAAAAAAGACCAGTTCCTTATTGAAATGTTTGTTAATAAATTAAGGAGGGCCGATTGCCAGAGCTTGATCCTTGGTGTTCAACACTAAACAATTTTAGAACTTGTATGATAAGTTTCTTTCTGAGATTTGTCCAAAAACCACGTGTTAGGCAATAAATTAGTGTTATTTTGGGGCCTGAGTGTAAATTTATGACTATCTTTTTTTCTCCCTTAGAAAGAGGTAATTTTGTAAAAAAGCATTACATTTATAAATAGTCTACACAGTGAGCATTTTGTTGAGGGCTTCTGTCCTCATGCATCCTCAAGTGTTCCCTTTGCCAAGTTATCATGAAGCAGCATGTCTTCTTCCAGCAAGACAAGACAAATACTTCAGCTTCAGGATCTGCAGAGGTAGGCAGAACGCAAGTCCAAATGGCCAAAAGGACGCCATCTGAGCTCAAGATAATTATAAGCAGCTTTGTTTGGGCAGCTCAATTTTGGTCTTCAAAGAATCAGACTGATTCTAGCGCTCTACACACTGGTGCCCCGCTATCCTATGACACTTCTCCATCTCTGTCATCCCTCTCCCTCCTACCTGCATTACTGACACAAGTTAATCGTGATGAGTGTTTTAAGAATCAACAGAGCCACATCAAGTCAGCCTGGCAGATAGGGAATCTCTAAGGCTATTATCTCACATGTGAAATGCTTTTCATATAGAGTTTCGAAGGAATAAACTGGTAAAATTAAAAAAAAAAAGTGTGCACTTACAAGACATCACTCTTCCAATCTAACTCACTCTTAGGATTTCTAAAGGTATTCTTAAAAAGAACTGTATTCTTTCTTAACAATTATGCTCACCCACAGGGACATGAGAAAACACAGGCCTCTGGTGACTGACATCCAGCTTCCCTTTTGCACAGTAGTTTGAGGCACAAACCAGTTTAATTTACTAGTTTTATTTATTTATTTTCAGCTGTGGGGGTGTCCCGCAAAGGGTGGAAACTATACCAAGAATTTCAGGCCTATGTCACAAATTTTTTTTAGCCCTTTGAGTTTAAAGATGTCTTTACCACATAGTCCGCCGGTTTCCTCTTGTCATCACCCTGCCTATACTTGCGTACAATCATAAAGCAATAACATGGCACATGTGAAACACCGTCAGGATTTTGCCCTCTTTGCAAAGCAAACCAAAAATGATCAAAAATGCAAAATTACGTAGTAAACTGCATAGTTGTCAAGTCTTATAATTTAAAACATCCATGAGATTATTTTAATTATTAATATTAACGATTCCTTCTATTCAACATGTTAGGGCTGACATTGTATATTTTAACGCGTATTTTATGGATTTAATATCTATTTTATATATGTACCCTCAAATTATATACTGTTAAAAAAGGGTAAATGCACGTCCCTTTCTTTCAAGCAAAACTGAGCTCCTTTCCAAACACGGGGGTTGGAGGAAGAGATTCAGGCAGATGGATCCCAAACTCACCCTCCCAGCAGGATTAAAGTAGCCTTCGGCCAGAGATTTGTTATAATCGGCATAAGGATTCGGGAAGGCCCTTTGAGCCATGGTGCCGGAAGCCAGCCTGCAGAACAAGGGAAAAAGAGAACCCAGGTTGAAACAGGGACTTCGGCCGCGCGGCGATGGCGGTGGCCAGAGGCCCGGCAACGCTTTCCTTCGAGCTTCTGGGCCACCGCACGGTCTCGGCGGTCTGGGAGGACGCCGGGCCCACTGAGGCCAGGATGCTGGGGCGTGGCAGCTCCGCGGAGAGGCTGCCAGGGCCCAGAACCCACCGCGAAAAAGGGATTCCGTTTTGCACCCCACGTTCCCACTCCCGCGATTCCAAGCAACTGCCCAGTGCCGTGTCCAGAAGCCCTGCCCCGCCTCGGCCGCTCACCCGCAGCCACCGGACAATAACAGAAGCGACGCTTTCACCGCCCACTTCCTGACAGTCGGACCAATCAGAGCCTTCGTCGCTACGGAGACCCGCCCCCTTCCTGCTTTCAGTTTGTTAAAGAGACATAGAGTGTGATTTGTGAAGGATAATACAGGATGATTTAAAACCTGGGTAGCTGGATTAGGGACGTATCGTAAAATAACGTGCAAATGTGCCCAATATGTCCTATCTTTGTTCCCTTTTAACTTTTTTATTTTTATTTTTAAGAAAACGAATTCAAGTCCAGATAATTCCTAAGTACTGTAATTTTTTTTTT